AATGCTAACCTAAAGAACAAAGGAAAAATAATTCCCAGAATTTATGTAACAGTCAATCATTCAGAGCCATAGTAAGGATTTTACTAGACGAGCACTGAAATCTCAGCATTGCATTACAGAAGCTAGTATAAGCTACCCTGCTTTGTAAGGCTAAACACAGAATAAAGCAACCAGGACATTTGTGATCAAGTTCTCTCCTCCTTTTCCTCAACTGGCTGCAGAGAAGAGTAATTTAAGAAAGCTGGACTAAAGATCAATCTCTGAATAGTAACACCGTTGATTAGCCCATTTGAGTCAAGGCCCACTGACAGAAAACACGGTCAGCAGCATAACCAGGATGGACTTGTCCATGGTCACCAGGATCAGATAAGCCAGTGAGCCAGTGCAGAAGGAATTTCAATCTTTGTGTATGGACCGTCTGGATATTAATTAATCCATGTGGGCTCAACTGAGGAAGTTATACTGCAATAGACACTATTTTAAAAATATAAGAGGTACTAGGCCCTAGATAGCTAATAATCACATGTACTTTAGTGAAGCAAAGGCCTACAAATTGGAACTATTTTAACTGTGAAATTACTGAGAAATATGACTGCTTAAAACTGCAAAACAACATCTTTATGAGCAAAATGCCTTTAGCCTGGATAACAAAAGATTTACCCTGGATACCCATGGTAACACAGAGAAAGCAAACCCAGTAAGACATTTAAATACAGCATCCAGAGATTTGGATACACGATTCACTTGAATTAGTGAAGCTTAAACACATGGAAAAACGTAATTAGCTAAGAAAACATGGCAGAAGCTAATCATTAAGAGTACGTGAGGCATTATATATGTAACTGATGAACTGTCATGTAAAGGAAGCAATTTCAGATACAAAATGCACAATGTGGGCCCAATTACACAGTATCTGTGCAGCTATCCATTCCTACACTTATTATTTACATTACTGACCCAAATAAGACAGGGTGGCCTGATAATCCTAAAGCACAGCCACTACCTGATATGTTTCAGCCAATTGAATTTGATCCCCAAAGAGTCAGGATTAGAATGACTCAGTTAATCACGATCAGTGGATGAGCAAATGCATCCTTAATTATCATTAGAGAGACAAGGCTGGTTGTGTGTGAATATTCTCCCTTATGTTAAAAGCAGCCAGTAAGACTTAGAGTGTTGCTTCACACTCTAATTATCTAATTCTATTGACACTGAAAGTCAGTCTTGTACATTCTCTTCCTTCCCTTTCCACACGGCTCATTCCTTGCATCAGATCAAGCCAGTGTGCTGCCACAATGAGTCCAGAGTTAGCTCATGAGGGGGTGGGGAGGACAGAACAGAGAGGAAGTTCCCCCACCATATCATATCATTATCAAAGATCACGCTGCAGCCACAGACAATCACTGCATCTGAGGCATGGAAAAGGCAGGAGGAACACATCAGTCAGGTTGGAGGACAGCAGCAGAACTGCCCTTCCTGGCAGCAACCCACGGTTCAAATGTATAAGATACATGTACCTCCCAAACCAGTCTCTCAGAAAAGAAGACAAAACTAGATCTAAGCTTTGTTGCCCAGGAAGGATGAACACCACACCCAAGATGAGCTAACAAGCACCACGAATTTGCTGAAGTGCTGCTGATCTGCCTGGCACACTGGAATACTCCAGGCAGAATCGTAGGGGTCCATTTAACTTCAAATTAGTGGCTTAGGCCTCTTAGAACCTACTCTTGCCAAGCTGCAAACTTCTCCATATGAATAGGCTCCGAATAGTCACTAAAAATTGCCCGAACTTTGGATTCTGTTTCCCTTGGGTTTGGTCCACTAGAACAGTGGAACAAAGCCCAGTGTTGTTCACTTTCTAGACAGACAATTTTTGAAGAAGTAGGGAAACCACAAAAACAGAAAAAGACGGTCCATAAATTCTTAGTTTTAGAGACAAGCAACAAGGGCAAAAACATATTAATGTTCCCTCCCCAAACAGGAGGAGAAATTCACCTTTTCCTATGACTTAATAATGATCATAGAATTATTTTGGTTGGAAGAGTCCTTTAAGATCATGTCCAAATGATAATCCTAATGGCCAGTGCACTAAAGGGTCCTTACTTCAACTTTCTTAATTTCTTTTCCTTAAATTGGAAGAAGCAGGAAATAAACTTTTCCTTGGTCCAGCCACAGTCTTCATTTGACAATTTAGGAAAGTTACAGAATACACAACTCTATGTGTCCAACTATATTCAGTAAATATTATGACAAAATAAGAAACAATTCTCTCCTTGTCTGCAAGTGAAGATATTTCTTTTCTAATTACAAAATCATTTCTTATTTCTATTTAATGAATGAATCAATAAATAAATAAATAACATGTAAGGTCATAAACAGAATGCTCAAGTACTTTAAGCAGCCTCATTCCAGTAACAGTCACAAGATTCCCATCACACACAGTCTAAGTGATCAGGCTACTGTTCCCCAAAGAGCAAGAGAATTCAACAAGTCCAGAGCCTCTGCCTAAATCTCCCAAAACTTGCAAGACAGAGGCACAGCAAGGGAGAAATTTGCTTTGCTTATTTTTCTGTTATAGGCCCTAGAACACTCCCTATTCTACAACAGAATGAAAATTCTGTCCAGTCTGGTAGCCTGCCTGAACGTAAGTAAACTGTGATAGTTGTCTGCCTCACCCTCCCAGAGATCTGAAGCACATGGACTTCCTGCTCCAGTCATTATACATTTGAGTGCAGTTACAGTTGTTTTTCCCTGGTCTGATTTAGTTGCCTTTTGAAAATCAACTCTCAGCATCTACAAGAAATTCTAGAACCATACAGTGATCCTCATTATCATGACCAAAGAAAAAGTTTTTGCTTTGCATCTATTGTCACAAGTGATCTCTTGTTTTGTAATAAGCAGCAAGATACCCATATCTTACTTTCTTGGTGCTACACATCGTTTTCAAAACCTTTCACCGTGTCTCTCCCTCCAGGTACCTCTTCTCATCACAGAAATATCCAAATGCTTCTGGTATCTGCTTCTAGAGAAGCAGTCTTTACTTCTGGTCACCCTTGTTACCTTCTTTAACTTCCATAGTTCTGCTGTATTCTTGATACCACTAATCTCTGGCAATCATTTTAATTATTCAACTATTTCTAAAAGTTAAGCTGAAGTGCACATGAACCTTGAATATAAAGACTTTACCTTCGTCACCAAGCCAAATGTATTTCTTGACATTTAGTTGTGTTTATTTTCTCCGTACCACAAAACCTTTCAAGTCTTTGCCAGTTTCCACCACTAATAATAAAATCATTCTCTCACCAGTATTTCTACCCTCTTTCTGAAACAGGATAGCATAGACCCCATGTAGTAGACCAAAGGCCCCTCTTTTTTATATTTAAAACAATTACCCAGCTGCGACAGAATTTCCCATTTACTCCAGATTACAGCTGTATTTGCTTGAAGAGCCTCTGGTGTGGAAGTCTGCCCATAAACATTTCAGTACATCCAGCCAACTTTACATCAGCCAGCATTAATTGTGTCCTTACCAACTCCTTTACAGAACTCTACTAGCCATTCACTCCATGATTTACCTTTACAAAAGCTTTATCATCGGTATCAATGTATTTAGTGATGATGATTATTCTGTTTCTTAAAATAGAATTCATGCTATTTAATCATATCGACCTTAAACACAAACAGCAGTAGAAGAGGTATTTTGTCTGATCATCAGTATGCACTTGCTCCAAGACTCCAATATCCCTTCCTGTCAAATCTTTAATACATCTACTATGTCAATATCCTACAACAGATGTAAGAAAAACTAGATAGCCTGATTTTATGTAAGTACATACACATTCATATACACACTTCTTTTAAAATGAAAATTCAGACGTTTTCCATCAATGCACAAACAAGTTTGCTCCTTTTTTTTTTCTAAATTCTGTTTCAAATGGGTTATGGTTTATTTTAGTTTTTTTAACTCTGGACTAGCTTGTGCCATTTCCTACTGGAACTACTGATCCTTCGATAACATATAACAGCAAGAATACCAATTTTGAAGATTGCTGGAGTTCTGCAATCTCACATTGGTTTTGGCTTTTCCCCAGACATCATCACTTCAACATTACAGCAGCCCTGATACAAGCCACCTTTTCCGAAGGGGCTCCCTTGAGTCTCAACATCACCTCTACTGCCTAATAAACCTGATTCCATTTTCCTTTATGTCTTGTTTTCTGGGCCTAAACATTGCTTTTCTCTCCTTTACTTTCCCTCTCTGCTCCTAAGTAAGGTGTAAGGAACATTTCAGGAAGTGTTTACAAAATGTGAAGCCCAGCAATTAGTACCTCGGAGTACTTGTTGATAACAAGAATATCTCATGTTACAGCCCATTACCAAAAACAATGGACTCAACGGAATTCAAGGCTGTTTGATGCCTACAATGAAACACTTTCTGAGAAGCTGTTTCTTAATTAGAACTAACAAAACCTGCTTCCTTCAGGCCTCCTCTATATTACTGCTGTTATAAGTCCATTAAGACACTTTCACACAACCCTCATTTTGGTTCCCTCTCACATTCCTTAGTTGGCACCTCTTTCCCCTCTCATTCCTTGAGTAACGCCAGTTACATCTCATGCTCCCTAATTACCGAGTGACAGCGAGACAATTTTACACCTGCTTCTAAACCGTGCAACTACTAAGTGGCTGTAAGGTAGAAGGGGTAGAGAAAAGAAGCCACAGTTTTGCCTTCTACAAAGCAGTAATTTTCAAGAAATTCCCAAGATTTTTGTATTTCAAAATGCATTTGCTTCTGCTGGTGATCACTCCACAGAGGAATGCACAAAGACATTCAGCAACTGCATGAGCTTGTTTCCTGGGAACTAAGACACAGATAGGCCCCTAGGTATCAGCCATGATCTTGTCTTGTAACTCCAGCTTTTATTCTGCTTTCGAATCTTAATTCACAAGTTGATTTTAAGAAGTGCTATACATACTAAAAAAAAAAAAAACAAACTCACCGTTTTATTACGCAGTCTAATTATGTCTGAAACAGAGCCAGCTCCACAATATTCCATAACAATCCACAGATCTGTATTCTTAAAGTAGCTGCCATAGTACTTGACAACATAAGGACTAGATGGAAAAAAAGTTAGATAAATAGATGAATTCTTAGTAGAAAGAAAAAAAAAAAATCACCAGCACACCTGTTGTTAAGAGCTACAGTTTGACACAGCTAAGAGCAAGTGCAACCAAATACACTTTAAACCTGTAATTAACTTAATCAATGCCTTCTTGGAACAAATTCTGATTACTAAATAAAATAATAAAGTCACTACTATGTATATAAGTTTTCAGCAACCCTCAAATAGACATGGTTTTAATCATCTGATAAAAAGCTTTGTTTTTCCCTCCTCTAAGCGCACTCTTGAAAGTTTCTCTTCTTAAAAAGACTGTCTTGTTTTCTTCTCTCCAGAACAAAATAATATAGAAACTCACCCATGTTTTCCCAGTTCTGCAAGAATGAACTTATTTCAAGCACAGAGCTAGACTTTCATATTAAAGAGAACCTAGTGCTGGTTTGAAGCCTTCTGGATTTGCAAATGCATTTTCATACTAAAGCATCTCATGTGCAGTGTCAGGTATAGTACTGTCACAAACAGAACACACTGCTTTGCTACTCAAGCTTGTCACTTGACATAATGCTTCCCTGGAGTCACTTGCAAAAGAAAGGCAGAAACAGATGTGGTAAACATAAAAAGGATCATTCTTCAGAAGTTATTAGAGGGTGTATTTATGGAAATAAAAGACTGAAGGTTTGGGGCGGGGTTTTTTGGAGGAACTTAAACTAGATTGATTGTCATCTATCTCCCATAAAGTCAGGAAGTGAGATTCTGAGATTTCAGACTGGTTTCTCATCAGAACACCTACATTATGGGGTAGAATCAAACACCATCTTGTTTTGGAGCAAGGAACTGCATTTTAGGATCAGCATTTCTGGCAGCAACATGCTTAATATAGACAACTGATATTAGAATAAGAGAGGGCCTGTGGTTGCCTCCTGCAACATGATACTATCTTTAAGCAAAACCAGGTCAATACTATCAAAAATCTATTTCATTTAAGAGCAACTGTTAGCACTAAGTGAATTTGCCTTTTCAGAAAGAAATGTCCTAACCAGTCCAAATGTCTACCATTTACAAGCACGACACACTGATCTTGCTCCTTATAAATTCATGAGGTTAGGAAGGCTGTATTATTCTAAAGAAAACCCACAGATTTTTGTGACCATCTCCTGCCAGATTTATATTATGCCAGTAATCCCATCAACAACTGGGTGTTATTATCAATCAGGACAGGATGATCTTTTCAAAACATCAACTGCTGTACATTCTCAAAGACTGTTCATATTTGCTTAAAAACTGACACTGACTAAAAGCTGATTTCCAAATTGCAGCCCAAAACTCCATAGACAACAGAAAATGCAAAGTAATTCTTGCATCCAGGCTTCCATTTCTAAGAGACCTGCAATTATAAGATTTGTGAACAAGTGTAAGGTAACAATCCACCAGTATTTTTACAAGATCGTTCACTTTTTAAAAAGTATGCTCCTGCACGAAAAAGGCAGCCAAGACAGAATACTGTTCTGTAAGTTAACTGCTAGCCATTCATCTTCTGCTAGAAACAATCAATCTTCTGAAACAGCTAACTCAGAATTTCACAAAGCCTAAGACATTTAAAGGAAACAGTAACCCTTGGCCTTAACAATGCAATTAAAGTGAAGCAAGCACGGAGAATTCTAAGCAGAGGCCAGTATTTATTTTTTCAACAGTTTTTGTTATGTAAACTATTTGTACTTCCTTCAATCCAAACCAAGGAGAGAAGGAGGTCCATGAAGTGGTTCCTTTAATTAAAAAGTCTATGTTGGACAATTTGCTTTTCATTAAAAAGTTTGCAGCTGCTTATATTTCAGCTATTTTCACAAGTACAAATACATGTTCATACAGACTCTTACAAAGGGAATAGAAATGTCATACCTACCTGTCACATTGTTGCATTATAGAGATTTCTTTAATTATTTCTTGAAGATCTGATTCCACAGGGACCTGTTTAATTGCTACAACTTGTCCAGATTCTTTGTGTATTGCTTTAAACACACTACCATAAGACCTAAAAAAAGAGACAATTTTTTTAAAAAACCGAGACAAACTGCTCCTGATTTCCATCATGCATAAAAAGTCACAGAAGCCATATGCTCATGCAGAAGTTTGAGCGTTTTTCAGGCTGCAAAAAGATCAGTTCTACCAGGACCTCAGGAAAGACTGAAGAATGCTTTGTCAAGACTAAAGAAATCTTTTTCAAGATTTAGAGTTTCTAATTCCACTACAGGTGCAAGTACATTTGCTGTGTTAACAAACAACAGGCATCAAAAATGCATAAACATAAAAGGGAAAGTGTGGAAATCTACTGATACATGCATTTGCTTTAGTAGTAAAACTTGTCTATAGAAACATTCCTTAGGACATTTACAGTCACTCTCTCTGTAACTTAATATTCCAACATATGCTTTATGTATGGTTTCCCTCTGATTCTATGCCTCTGTAAATAGCTGTACTTACCCTTCACCAAGCTTCTCCAGAACATCAAAGACTTCTTCAGGCTGCTTAGTTAAACTATCTTCACTTAGCTTTTTCAGTTTGCTAAAAGAAAGACGAAAGTTATTTATTTGTTTGGGGGACAAAGAACTCAAGCAAATTTTCACACAAGCAAGCAGACAGCAAAAATTATTACAAAGAAAAATACATTCCAATGAAAATACTTAAAGTGCAGCAACAAAATTTTAACCAACTATCATATAAGATGAATAAAGTTATGACAATTTTTGTCATTATCACTTTCTCATTAATGTTTGCTCAATTCAAAGCAGCATGGGACCAATTCACTCTTCAAACCACTTCCTTTGCTAAGTAGAAACAGACAAAGACTACAGGAAAGTTTACCTTCCTTTGAAAAACAGTCAGCATACCAACATATGTCCCTTACTAATTAGGAGTTGCCACGCTGCTCTCTATTTATAAACCAATCCTTCACCCACATGAAGTACTCAGTTTCTAAACTGTACCCCTCATCAGCCAGTGAATGACATCATTAAATGCAGAATTCTGAAGTCAAGATGAGTCTGGGAGCATATGGTAACACTTCCCAGGTAGCAGCAGACGACTGAAATTCCAAAAGCTGAATACTGAATACAAAAGCTGTTGGGGCAGCTTCTCTTGCATCTTCATAAATGCACACAGGGGCAGGATGCAACAAAATCTCTCCTCACATAACACCATATTTTGCCCATAGTTCTCTCTCACACAGTCTCAAATCACTCAGTAACACCCTATGATTTCTTCCAGCACTTTCAAGCTCCTTTTACCATCATTTGTTGTCCTTTACAGGCAGTCCTAGCCTTTCCCTGGTCTCTAGCATTCCCAGCCATCCAGGCCCCCAGACTTCTGGCAAATCTCAAAACACAACTTGGCTGCAAGCTTGCACTAGAGCTAACACAGAACACAGCACAGGAAAATATAACCACACACACATTGCAGCAGGGACAGGTGGCTGCAACATGTAAATCCTTCACCATAAAGTTATAGGGAATTTTGCTGCAAGACTGAAGTAACAAGCTGACTCTACATGACAGCCAAGGGTACTAATAAAGTAGAAGATGAGCTGAAGAATAGCTGGTGCTGTATGTTAAATATAGACAATGTATTCCATATGCAGGAGGAGGAAAAAGGGGGGGAAAAAAGGAAACTTTGAAAGGAAACTTTGAATAACGACAGATCATTGAGAACTTATGGAAAGTAAGTTATCTCACATCACTTTCTAGAAACAAATACAAAATAGAGGAAGGAAGGAAGGCATGGACAGAAAAGCCTGACAAATCTTAGCAGTGGAAGAACAATGATCTGAAAAAGAAAACCCTTCATATTAGGAGATGTAATTCTGAGATATACAAAATTTTTAAAAATTAAAATGACTGACCAATGAAGGAAGTCATGAGTCAAAATAGATTTTAATTGCCAACCATCTAAGTAAAAGCAAAGAATTTAAAATAATCATAAAAGCACACAAGTCATATGGACTGGTGTTAAACAAGGGAAGCAAAGCAAGGAAAAAGCACAAGGGTGCACACATTTATACACCAAAGAATTATTTCATAGATGCACAAGAATACAAAAAGCATCTACAATCAGCAAGGAAAGGTGCATTAACTACAATAGAGACCATGCACCTTGCTACAGCAAACAAGAAGCTGGGAAGTCTGTGTGTTTAGGGAAAATAAAAATCTTCACAGCAAAGGAAGGGCACAATGTACAAACATGAAGATAAACAGCAAAAAAACTCAAATGAAAACAGCTAAATAACATCTGCAAAACTGGCCTACAAGAACAAAGCTGTTTTCTTTTTCACTCTCTCTGCTGGCTAGACATTACTTAGTAGAAAGAAAGAACTTATACCTTGCAGAGAAGCACATATTTCATTACTGAACAAGCATATGTTGACACAAATCAAAGAGGAAAAAATATTTTGCAGGTAGGTATTAAAGTAATAAATCATTCATTTTGCTTCTTGTTCCAAATTCTTTTCCTCTCTGAACAGATTATATGCAGCCTTAAAGGTAGCATTCAAGAACAAGTTGCTGCCATCATCCCCTTCTTGCCACTAAAAAACCCCAAGCACAGTATGTTTATAATACAAGCAGAGTCCTGAAAAATAAAAAGCATAACCTTTAGCTGAGTCCCTCAAAGAGCTGCATAACAAACGATGTACTAAATAGAAAAGCAGAGGGACTGAACTTTATAGTAACAGCCAGAAGACAGAAAGCATACAGTACCCCTGACTGCAGATCCCCACAAAGAGAACAGTTCCACCTGCTCATCCAAAGAGTAATGCCTGCTAAAATGAGAAAGGGAAAAAAAAAATCCAAACCAAAAGTGTTCCAACAGCACCATTAATGCCAAGGCATAGTGAGTGCTTGAGAAGAGTTAGTGAAATAATCACAAACAGTCATAAACTGATCAAGACCAATGTCATTGTCAAATAACAGATTATCTGGAGTACTTGAGAAGCAACCAGGAGATCAAAGAAATAAGCATTCTGTAGTTTTAAAATTATTTTCATGTTATCCAATACCGATAAACATGTTATGAGACCAAATCACACTTAACACTAAGGTGGCTTAATTCAAAACCTATTTCCAGTAAGAAAGGTACATCAGCCTCAGGAACATCATCACCAAATGCCCTGCTCAAAGCACTCCTTCACAAACACTGTAATAGTACAGATGCTGGGTTTGGTGTTCAAGTGATAATATCACCACCACAGTTCTTTGAACCATAGAAAAATCCTCATGACTCAGACATTCTAATGATTTCTATTTCTAGATGTTTAAATAAAATATTCAGCTCTTGAACTACAGAACATCACGCGATATACCTTGAAGGACTGCAGTTAAGAAAGCATTTATGAAAACTCCATGAGAAACAAGGAAGAAGGTGGCAACTGGTGGAACTGGCTGCAAAGCACTAAGCAGAATACAAGAAGTGACTAGAAATAGGATCTTGTTGGTTAAAAGCAAGCAACAATCTTGGGACAGAGAAACACACCTAAAACTTCAGCATCAGCTTTTAATGGTGGGGGGGAAGGGTTAAGGTGAAAATGAAGAGACAAAGGGCACAAGAACAATAGGAGAGAAAGACAGAATGTGTCTCATTCCTCCCTCCCTCATTCATCTTCTACTTCCATAACAGGCATTTAAAACAGAAGAAATAAATCAGTAAATCCAGGCACTGCTTTACTCTGGCCAAAGGATACAAGTGCCATATGTGTATGTGTGTATACATATAGAAGTTCAGTATAAAACCTGGGTAGAAAGTCACTGTGGGTTATTTTTTTTCTCTAGAATCTAAACTATCAGGGAGTGATTATGAGCTATTTTAGAGGTCTTCCAGAAGGGAATATGTTCCTTAAATCAGAAGGACTAACTAAACCATACTTCTGGGAAAGACCTGTCAAAAGGATTTTCTTGTTCCAAGAAGGTTTGACTTTCCACAGAACATCTAGTCTCTTAAGAAAAATAATTCCTAGTTTGACCAGAATCTTCTTTGCCATTGAGTGTATCAACAAAATTCTAGAAAAGGAAAACCTAGAAAACCTAAGAGGCACCTAATCCCAGCATAAAGATCAGGAAAATTTGAACTGCAACATGAAAGAGCAAGAGACTTCCTCCCAAAAAACAGGGGAAAAAAAAAAAGTATGACTGTAGTATTCTACAGTCATTATATATAGATTTCACAAAATAAATTGATAAAGTGCTACAGAGGTAGGTATAAAATATCCCTGAAAGTTCAAAAATAAAAATAAAGCTGGAATGAATAATAGAAAGCCATCAATTACTGTCGTGAGTTACAAAAAACTGGACAGCCACTCCAAGAAACATGAAGATATGTGATTTATTGTGCAGAAGAACTAGCACACTGAAACATTTAACAAGAATGGCTGGGATGAATTATACTGATATATTAAAAGAGAAAGTAGTAGGAGAAATCACTGCAGTCATCTGAAGTAGAGATGGCAGGTGGAAGCCTCGAGACATTTACTCTGCTTCACAGCACTTGCACAAGTAGAAGCAAGATTAAGACACTTTACACCATTGTACTGTGTACTTACATTTAGCATTCTACCAATAAAGCCCAAACATTTTTGTCCTATCATTTACAGGAGGAACTCGACAAGTGCCAACATGTCCACTGACACAAGCATTAAGAAACACACTTCTTTCACAAACACTTCATATCCTAAGAACAAGTTCTTCATCTTCCCATAAAACCTGAAAAGTTGTGTTTCTCAGTGAATATTAAATTCAAGTTTAAATAAAGGACTGGAAAACCTTCATTACACTTCCCATGCTTGTTAAGCGGCCTTTCATTTGGCAGGAACATGCAGGAGATGGGCAAGATTAAAAACTAAGTTATTGACAGAATTTTCTCAAGTACGATTGTGTTTTTCCCTCGTATGCAACCTGTATCGTCACATGTGAGCTTGCCAAGGATACAGAAAAACACAGCAATAACAACAAAGGGAAATTACAACACTAAGAGGCAAATTTTGTAACTATTTTAAGAGTGAATCTCCTTTCTAGTGAGAGAAAAAAACATAAAGCACATCTAAAGTATAGTTAGAGATTCAGATGCAAGAAAACACTGTGGCAACTACTGCACAACTTGCTCAGCATAAAATCAGAACATCTACTCTAAATTATTTTTAAAGTAAAAAATATTCTGAAAAGGACTCTCCCTTAAAATTCTCGTGTTACTGTTGCAGTACATTAGCCAAAGAAAAAAACTAAATTATTTTGACAGCACCTCCATTGAAAAACCACAATGGCCTAGAAAGTCACTTGGGCATCATCACTGCTACTTTCTGAAGGGTTGTATAACAGATTTATACAATAGGCATTGTGTGCTTCTCTACAAGGAAGTGGAGCTAAAAGTGCCCTATACTTCTAAGGCAACACTGGGATTCTAGGACATCCATGCAGCTTTTTAGTGAACAGATTAAGTTCTTACTACACCCCAGATCTGATGCCAATAGATCCCTCTCAGTGCTCCTGTGGACAACAGGCACCAACAAGAATTCTGGTTTTCACATTTGTTTTGCCAAGTAAACATGGTCTATTTCAAACCACTACTGCATCCAAAGACAGCATCAAAAATTCAGCCCTCAAAAAATAACCTGCACTTCTTCTGGACTTGAAGAAAAAAGGGGTGGCCTAGAATAGTTGAGAATAGCAACAATCGGGAAACGGGACAAAACTATCAATAAAGGAGAAATTATGGACAGCCATGAAAATTTTGCTTCAAATCTTAAGAAATAACCTGAGTTAATATCTTAAGAAAAACTGAGTTCAAATTTTCCCTTCCACTAAAGAAACAAATCCGAGTTCTCATCACAAATTTCCAGAAGTAAGCTTCAAAAAACATGTGGAATATAAAAACAGCCAGAGTTTAGACATTCCCACATCTAGTTCTTTCTGACTTAATCCAAAGATTTAAACACCTCTTAGTTTCAGTTAGGCCAGACACACACCTCCAGATAGGCAATAAATTTACAGCAAATGTCACATCTTCCCTGAAACATCTGGCAGGTTATGCTAACGTCACTGCTTGATTTTCAGTCCTGTGATACCACCGTATCCCAAGGTCTCCACTGCTGGTGGTGACACTGATTACACCTCAGACATTTCTGCTCCTAAATTTTTGCTGATGCCTCTCCTACTTCCTTCATTTGAGATATGCAGCACTGTCAGCCTGAAAGTACAGGGTAGGCTTGCCCCTCCTTATTCCATTGCCTGCTAAAACCACCCTAGATAGCAACGACAAAACTAATTATTTTTCAAAGTTTTCCACAATAGGTACTGTCACTTAATGTGTTATTGGAGAAGAAGTCATCAGATGTTCAAGACTACATTCTTCTCAAGTCCCATCATCCTACAGGAAGCTGCTTTTAAAGAATTTTAAAGCTTCTAAATTGAGAATGTAGAGGTTTTAAAGATGAATGTAGAAACTGATCTAATATCCTTATCACAAATTTTTATATTGTGTAGTCCCTAGATTTTTCATTATCAGGAAGCAAAAGTAAAATCAGAGCTCAAAGACAGTAAATAAATATGCAAACCATGTAACTACATTTTGTACACTACACAACTACAGTCTGTGCATTGTACAGCTATATCCAAGAAAAGTTTGTTCAAATTGAAATACATGATTAAACTTGACACAAAGCAAAATTATTTTATGCACTAAGAAATCAAATGATAAATTATTTTTTAAAACGTGCACAGTAATTAATATGATCTGACAGCTTATATATTTGAGAAAATACACCTACTGTGGGAAAATTCATGGGGTTTGACTCTTCCCACTCTCTGATTTGCAATTGCAACTATGCAACGCCCACCCCCACAAGCATCCATCCCTCCAGCAGCAGAGCACAAGGACACTTTCCAGTGTGAGAAGAGAACTGTTCGCGTGTACTCCTGCCACAGACCTGAACTATCGAGTGACAGACCCCACAGGCCAGAGAGGACTCTGCTCGGCGACCAAGTTTCCCTCACTTCATATTAAGAATGTTCTTAACTCAAGCAGTCCCCGAAGGTTCGTCTCCATCGGGGCATTCACTACAAAGTGTATTCCGCGGCATCCACCCTACAAGAGACCCTTCCCCACGTGACAGAGCCCTCCGGTCGCTAAGCAAGGCTCAGCACCGTCCCCATCCCACTGCCCCCGCAGAGACCCCGGGACCGAGGCCTCACCCGGGCCATGCCACCGCTCCCGGGCGGGGAAGGGGCCGCCGGGAAGGGTCATTACCTCTTAGGCGCTGCCTGCTCCATGCCGTCGCCGCCGCGGTCCCCGGGGCCGCTGACCGAGCCCCCGGGCCCCTCCGGACCCGCACAACTCCCGAGCAACCTCACCACCCCTCGACACGAAGCCCACACCCTCCCACGGCCGCGCTCCGGCTGCCGCCACTACCGCTACCTCCGGCCGCGGCGGGGCCCGCCCCCTCGCGCCGCTCATTGGTTACAGCCGCGCTAGAGCCGGCGCTGATAGGGTGCTGTGGACGTCAGTCAGAGCGGCGGCTGCGGGGAAAGCCCCGCCCACCGCGAGACGAGCGGGCGCTGCCGCGCCGGCGGGAGGGGAAGATCATGGAGGCCGCGGTGCTGCCGGGCCCCGGCATGCCTCGCGCGGAGACGGCCCGCGGGGCACGCCGGGAGGTGTAGTCTGCCCGCGGGGCGTCCCTGCGAGTCGGGCCGGGCGAACCGGCAGCCCCGCGGTGCCGTTCACTCCCCGCGCCTCGTCCCGCCGCTCCGGGCGCTGCGCCGCCAGGCAAGAGCGGCCTAGGGCAGCACCGCCGCCTCAGGGCGGCTCTTAACCCGCGGCCACCCCCTGGCTTTGGGGCAGCGCTGCCGGGCGGCCGAGCCTTTCACCCACCTGTTTGTGCCAGGCGAGGCAGCGGCACCCAGCCCCTCCTCAGAAAGTCGAGGTCTTCGTGGGCAAGCGGCTGCAGAGCATTGCTCAGAGCAGTGCTGAGGGGAAGCTTGAGGTCAGTCACGGCAGGACGGGGGAGCTGCTCCCCGCAGCCGCCTCGAGTGACACGGGAAAGCTTTTGAGGTGAATAGTGCCGGAGCTTGGCTCTTCCATGTGCGGTGCCAAAGCACACAAGTTACCCTGCAAGGCAGGGGAAGCTGTCACGTAATTACTCAAGCAGCAGGTTTCAGGCTCCAGAGCACCATGTGACAGATAGCTGCAATTTCAGCACCTTACAACTTCGACTTTCTGCTCTTTATGTACTTGAATCTGATGAATCCAAGTAGATCCAGCCAAGTCAATACAAGAAAAGCTTACATGCTCAAGCCAATTTCTATATTCTTTTCTGACGGTAGGTTTATTTGCCTATCTAATGGAAGTTCAAGGTAGTAAAACACCTAGGCAAGTTCCATAAAAACACTGAGATGCCCACGTTCCACTTCAAACTCATTTTAGATGTACAAGTACTACAACACTCCCACTACATAAAAAAATCTGCGCTCTGTTCATAATTTCGTCTCTTTGATGTGCATAAGCAAGGGAATTTCAAATTCAAAAGTCCTACTGTTGTGCAAGTCCTCTACTTTGTTTGAGTCAATCCAACCCAGTTGACTCACTGTGGTCGGGCTAAATGTACAATGGCAATACTGAATGAACCCACAAAACAAATCATGCACCACCATATGACCTTTTAGGTTTCTTTGTTTTTCTGAGTCATGGAAAAACTGCAATAGAACATCTTCCTTTGGCACAACAGATTAATGCAGAGCTCTTCCAAGCGTCATCCCACAAGCCACAGTGGCTCACCAGCAGTACTGCCAGATGTGTCCATAGCATGAACAGCAGTTTGTAGGATATGCCAGAAAAACAATCCACCCAGGAAAATGAGCCAGCAGATGCCTGAGATGGAGTATGGTATGAGTGCCTCAGAAAGTGGTGAGGAGGAATCTCAAGATGTCCCATTTTCCCATTCAGGGGACAGGTGAGGTCAGGCAGATAGCAAATGCCATGTGGCTAGTGTCCAGCTTTGTTCTACAGGGGTTTTGGCTATACCTACTGACCAATTATTATTTACAGTTCACCAGTTTCACCTAATGAAGGGAAGTCTGGCATTCCTATTTGGCTTTAATACTCCTGGAATGCAGAGGTTGTCTCCACATCCTTTAACACAAATATTTAAGGCAGTATTTTGTCCGGGTTGTTCCAGAGGAGGCAGGTTTTGTTCCCACATCTCAAGCCAAAGCTGCAGCAAGGAAAAGGATTCTTAGAAATAAAATACAAGTACTACATTATAGTTGTAACAGCAATACAAAGAAACAGAGCCAAGAAGTGCTCCCTCTCTGCATTCACACATATATTTCTTTCTCTGGAAAAACTTAGAGTAAACAGTCTAATCTGCTACTCTTACCTCTCCCTTAAACAACAGTTGACAAGAACGAAAGAAACTTTTTCCAAGCAAAAAATAGCATATTTAGATATTTTCTATGTTCATTTGAAATTATTTAATACCAGAATCCCCACTTCAAAAAATACCCTGACTCCTCCTGAGGAAGATGGAGCAAGACTGTCCTCCATCTATGCCACTGAAGAAATAAAAGGATGTAAAAAACTCAGATGTCTGAAACAGAAGTTAGGTAGCCTGGCTTTATTACATAGTGGGGCAGACAGTGCCAAAAAAAATTATGGACTAATTCCATGCCTCTCTCACAGAAATTTAAGTTGTATCTTGTGCAATTGCCAAAAAGCTTTCTAAGTACATTTAAACTGAAAATAAAACATCAGTAGGATAACATATATACCACGGGATTTTTCAAGATCACTTTATTCATCTCTTATAATTTCAAGTAGTATTTTTAGTCAATAACATTGGAATAAATAACACTATCTCACCTTTCCCCTGTGACATGAATTTGAGAACCGTGCTGTGAAATATGACACTGATTTGGTATTCATTACAATACTGTACCTAGCCACTGGCGAAGAAGGAACTTTGAAAGGGAAAACAGATTCCCTCTGTTCTCCTACCTCATTCAGAGTTTCCATTTAAGAGAAGTCTAGATGTTCTGGAGGCATGAATATACTATGAGATTGCTGGTGTCTAGACAAGATGGAGATGAGGAAGTTGCAGACACTCTACATGAGTATTCCCATGATTTCTTCCAACAGCAGGACTAACACTACTAAGAAGGCAGCTGAGTAAGAAAAGGCTTAATGTAGCCCAATCCTTAAAATGTAGGAGCAAATTAACTGAATTACTTTTTTTCTTCTGAAGAATTTTATCCATTTTACAAATTTATCTGCCTGAATTAGGACTCTCTTCTCTGCAGAACTGCCATCGACATCAAATACAACTCCTTAGACCAAAGAATGGAGAAAGACCATACTTAGTTTTTGAGTACTATAATTATTTTATATTATAATACAGTTTTGTAAACAGATAAAATAATTTAAATTATAATTACTTATACTGCAATGAAGTCAGGAGTCATGATGGCATGGGCAACTATTAGGTGCTGTGTAAACACACACAAAGGAAGTCCTCAAGCCCCTAAAAATATGAACAAAAAAAGTCCTAAGATACCAATCCTGTCTCAGTTGTATATAGTTAGGAATAAAACTAAGAAGAATAAAAAATACTTCAGAAGCTCATGTCTGCATTTCTAACAGGTATTACTAATGTTAGGATTTAAATTACAAATATATACTTCAAAGTCATCCATAAACATAATGCAAATAAATTACCTATGGTATAGCAGGGACCTTATCTCGTTCCTTTGATAGCAAATAAAAGCTGCACTTAATTCAGAAGGTATTCGATCAGGCTCATTTTAACAAAGTTCATTGTAATGAATACATGATGCTACTGTAAAACAGCAGAATTAATCAATAGTGCATGTTTTCCAAGAGATACTTGTCATGAACACTCCCCTAAGAAAATACCCCTAGTCCCATGTCTACGGTGCTTTTCACACACCAGCTCTTTTTCCCATGTGCTTTCTACCCTTTTACCATGGTACCCCTCATTTCTTTCACACAGAGAAGGTGCTCAGTGCTCTCTCCCTTGATATGGATTATCATCCCACAGTAGTTCCATTCACCTGCTTGGCACACCAAAACCAACAAAATTCATATAGACCCCCAAGCACACTCCCAGCTCTGTCATCCTTAAAACCCTCCACATCACTGATGTCTCACCATGCCTTGGCCCCCTCTCTGGCATTACCCCACAGAGTTCCAAGGATGCTGTGTCTCTATCACACCTGCAGATTAGCTCACAGGAGGTTTTTGGCTCACAGGAGAAGGCTGCAGGCCAGTCCACAGCGTGGTCCCAAACCCAGGTAAGAACAGAATTTCCCTTACTTTTTCCTTGCCCTGGGGTAGACAAACCCAAAAGCAGGGCATTCTCTCCTCTACCCTTGATTTCTGTAAAAATAGGAACTTATTATAATTACAGACCTCCAACTTTTCATGAAACATGTTTAAGTAAGATAAGTCACAAATGATTGTGAAGGGGAGAAAGGCAGAGGATGGCAGGCAAGCACGAAGATGGAATGAGTGCAGGAACCTGCTTTCCTTGGAATCCAATTCATAAATTCAGTAAATAAATAGTCAACAACAACATGTTTGCATGTCTCTCCCTGTGACTGCCTGATAGCGATCTGGTATGCTGAAAGTTAAGGAAAAGGCCTTGAATGAAATACCAGCTTGTTTATACAAAAGATAAGGAAAACTGACTTCTGCCTGTATTTTCTTCCTACCTATCATGTCTAATGTGAAGTAACCTTGAAGACTTATCTAAGAATTTGTTATATACTTTCCTAACCTTGTCAGTCAAAAAATAGTTATAAATAAAATATAAAGGAACAACGTATTTTCAAGTCTGGAATAAAATTTATAATTTTCTACAGTGAGTTTTTAAGTAAGTTTACGAATAAAGGACAAGGGGAGGGTCTCCTTTCCTGAACTATTCACAATTTAATGGTTAATTAATGTCACTAAAAGGAAAATTAATTTTTGCTGGTCCAACAAAAGAAAGAGACTGAAAAAAAAATCAGGCAGTATAAACATAGATATAGCAGCAATATAGATTCTGTTATCCATATCCAGTCTATTAAAATCAGCATGATTCATGAAATTCCTACTTAACATTAAAAAGAGCCATAAAAAACACGTAGAATATTAGCTGCACTACTGCAATTCCTCTCACTGCCTAGTATACATTATTTTCATATCCAAAATATTATTACTGGACCTAAAGCCATTTGTTGATTAGGATGGGATTTTACTGTTGACTAACCATTTAGCTCACAGTCTTGGTAACAGGCTATATATAGACTTAACATTTGCTATTTTTCCTA